AATAGCTCCACATGTCTCTGGGTGTGCTCTCCATCTCTTTCTGAAACAAGGTGACGCCAGAGGCCACTAGTAAGCTTTTCTAACATTGTGTGCACCCAGTGTTAATATGAGTGAGTTACAGCAACATGAGCATTTAAACACAAGTATTGTCTTTCGCTCTTTTGATGCTTAATGCAGTGAACTCAGTTCATATTCATTTTAGATCATTGAGGATGTGTCCATGGACAGTTAAGGACAAATACCACCACCACAAGTACTCCTGAATGTATTCAGTTAAGTGTTAAGGGAGAGCAGGGCAGGTAGGACCAAAGTGCCGCATGGGCAAAGGCTTAAGGTGAGAATGACCTTTATTCAAGGTTACAAACATCAACCAGACCAAAACTCTCTCCTTTGTAAACTCAAAGAACCATACATACGAGACACATGAAGAAGACAAGACACAGCTGGAGAGGCACCAGGTGACCAGAATCAGATAATCAGACAGAGACAGGAAGCAAAGACAGACATGAGACAGGGGCCGTTTCTCAATGTCGAGTGCTGCAGAGCCACTATTTCAAGTATACTACGTCATCGAGTGGCGCCCGATGCTGGGCATTTAACATGCATTTAAACAGTCCTTCGGCGCCACTCGATGACGTAGTATACTTGAAATAGTGGCTCTGCAGCAGGTTTACTCGACATTGAGAAACGGCCAGGGGATGAACACTTTCAAAGTAAAACAGGAAAACAGACAATAAATACTTTGGTTTACTGCACCTTAAACAGGGTACATTTTACAAAGTCAAATCATGTTTAATGAAAGGTTTGTTACTATACGTTTTGGGGAGGCTACCATTGATGTTAAACTCGGTTTTAAATGCACATTCATGCTTTGAGTTCTGCCTCTGTCTCATTCAGATAATTCAGTGGAACTTCTTCTCTGCAAAGAACGTTCAAAACCTAATAAAGTAAAATCATGTACTTTTAAAAATATATGGATAAGACTTCATCCAAATCTGAACTGAATTATGACACTGTTGGCCTGAAGACAAGTCCCAGAGAAGCTGGAAGCAATCAAAGCCTGCAGCGCCCTCTGCTGGTGACGTGCAGGAAGTACAGGTATACACCATGACCTTCATGGAGCACTGTTGGATCAGACAACTAGGACTACCTGATAAACTGCCTAATGAGTCTACAATGAACTCTCTGGTCTCTGTCAAATAATTTTTGCACATAGCAAAGGCATGACACAATTAAACTCAATCGCACACTTTGATAATGATTCATAAATAAATAATAATCAGTGTTAGAAATGAAAAATTCTTTATAAAAAAACGGGTTTCTAAAAGCGCTTTGAGGTGTTGGAAAGACTAGATAATGTCACGATCTGTCTATGCTTTATTTTGTCCTGTCTAGATCTGTCTTTGGTTTCCTGTTTTAGTTTGAAAAGTGTTCACCCCTTGTCTTGTCTGTTGCTTCCTGTCTCTGTGTTCCCTCCTACCTATTTACCATACCGATTACCCGATTGTGTTCGCCTTGTGCCCCTGTGTTTTCTCCTCCCTCCTCACCTGTGTCTTGTTTGTGTGATTAGTCTTTTGATTAGGTTTTTCTGTCTGTCGTCGTGAGATCCTTGTTGTTGTTGTTGAGTGTGCTCACGGGGGAGAGAGTTCTGCTCTGTATGTATAGTTGTAGTCTTGAAATAAAGGTATTTTTTCAGTTATACCTCGATCTGTTCCTGCATTTGGGCCCTGCCTGCTTCGCTCACCCTGACAGATAAAGCACTATATCATACAGTCCATTTACCATTTGATCTTCAAAGTCTTATAGGAGCTAAACCTCCTCAGGTGCTTCAAGATCATCTCACTGACACGTTCATAAAAGTAATCATTCCTGACGGGGGCGAGCCCACTGAATGCTCCTAACGTGTATTGTCAGATGAGGGTCCTCACACAGGACTGCCTCTGCGTGGCTACAGCATCACATCCTCCTGCTCATAAACCAAACTACTACAATGGATACAATAATAGTGCCCACTTGAATAAAATGAAAAATAATTAAGTAATTATAGGCTACTTTTAAGTTGATAAAGATATTCTTTGTAATATTTGATATTGTTTCGTCACAGTGTGTGCTCAGGCCCATCCGAAGTGTAACTCTCAGTCTTTAAATAAAATGACATGACATTACTCCAGAATCAGTATACACCATATTTCGAGAAAATTATTATTTCAACTACTAAAAGTGCATAATTAAAAGCTGGTATATTGTTCCATTTACTCTTCTCGACTGAATTTCCTCCATGGAGCATTCCTGCTGCCTCACATTTACAGAACCATTCTCTTTAAATAACTTCTCTTTCTCCTGCAGCAGTGTAGCCTACTGTCTTAAAATGTCTTGTGATGTGCCAAATCATATAAAATATGAGCTATCAAAGCAATGTTACACGTATGCAGGCTACTTAAAGGACCCATGTCATGGCCATTTCTACTGATCATAATTCCATTGTTGAGGTCTACTAAAAAAGATTTATATTGTGCAATTTTCCAAACTCACATTGGTTTCTCATACAGCATCTCTGTGTAGTATGTGTATTCACTCTCTGTCCTAAACGGCTTGTTGGAGCTCCTGCCCCCCCCTCCCTGTGAGCCCAGTGTGCTCTGATTGGTCGGGACGTTGCGAGGCTCTCTGCTGCTCGCCGCTGCGAGGAGCGGACAGGTTTCCGGGTCGGCGATACAGCGAGACACAGCGAAACTCATCCTGAGCACACACAAACACTCACAGCCGAAGTAAAAACAATAAGTGTGTCTTGATATTAAGTAAGAAAAAGGTTTATAACGCTGTGAGAATGGCTCTGCAGAGAGCATTTCTCCGCCATCCCAACTCGTCTATTACCAGCGTTCAGGGAGCTCTATGCAAGTCAATGGGGACTCCCTGTTAGTTAGCCAAGGGATCCTGGTGTGTGAGGTGCTCCGCGGATTGGTCCATTTGGGCCAATCCGGTCATTTGTTGTTGATTTGGGTGTTCACACGTCACAGAACCCAGGAAGCAAACAATGGAAAAAGAGAAATCTCCAACGAGGCGTTCTGGGGCAGCAGAGACAGGTATTTTCTGTGTTAGAGTTTTACTCGCTACAGGGTGTACTTTGAGGGTTTGTGACTCTGCAGACCGTTCACATGCATAAAAACCTTCATAACACACAAGGAGACGGGTAATAACCAGAAAAGCATGACATGGGCCCTTTAATACATTTAGCAAAATAGTTTAATGACTTCATTTCAAGTTCTTTACTTTCTTAACCTGTTAAGCCCTGAGCCTGTTTTTCAGGTCTCAGGCTCGAAAATGACATTCCCAGAACAAATGACCATATCTTTCCTTCTAAAAGGGTTAAATTAATAATCTTTATTCTCAAAGTAATGATAAACCTGTGAGTTGGATGTAGAAAAGTCAGAATCAATATAGATGTTTTTTATTTTAAAGAAAATTCAGATTGAACATAGTAAAAAACTGTAAATTATAGTGTCCGTCCAAAAATTCTTTTTTACTTATAGTGAAAACTACCCTTGGATGATGGGTTAGTAGACTAAAAGCTTTAGGAATCCAAAGTACAACATATAATAAGTACCCTGTATCAAGATTGATGCAAAACAAGTGAAATTTGACCTTTTTAAGAGAGATTTAGCCAAAAACCCCCTCTTCTGGGGTCATTTGGGTGGATTTGACCTATCTCTGGCCCCCCTTGCTCGATTTTGATGAATGAAATCTCTTTATAACCGCTAGAGCCAATGGAATCGAGGGAAAGTTATATACACACCAAAACGTTAAGAAATAAGGAGTGAGAGTGACGCGTTACCAAAACCGGAAGCTGCATACACTCTGGTGGCTACCATTAGCAGCTAACTTTTCCGCTCCGATTTTTACATAAAAATGGAATTATGGATTATAAATAATTTCTTCAAAGGCACAGGTACATTATCAACCTATGGATCAACAGTTGTAGCATTTTTTTTCTTTCGTTTTAATGCCATTGAACACGTCTTTTGACCTAATTGACAGCTACGGTGAGACGATCTGCCGTAAATGCTCCGTAAAGGTACGTGTTGTGATGTCTGTGTTTGCTTCCCCTGTCGCAAGTTCGGATCGCTCAGTGATGATACTATACCTAAATAATCAGTGGAGTCTCAGCTTTAATCGGCTATATTGTATGTGCAGCTACGATAAGTAATAAGGGTATCTTTATCTTGAATTGTGTGCTGCAGTGCGTTAGAATTGTTTCGCTCAGGGGTCATTTAGACGCTTCTTTTGGTTTTGGTAAAAATGGTTCATATCTTCAGTTAGCTGAGATTCTTCCCGTTAATCTGGTGCTACACATTAATAGTTTCATAAATGTTAAGAAGCCCTGAGACATTATCTCGAAAAAAAACCCGTGGGAGGGGTCCAATGGGGGGACCGCCGTGCTTAAGAGGTTAAAAGTAGGCTACCAATCAAGAATCAGACAGACTGACAGACAGGTAGGCAGACAGACAGACAGACAGCAGACAGACAGGCAGACAGACAGGCAGACAGACAGCAGGCAGGCAGACAGGCAGGCAGGCAGGCAGACAGGCAGACAGACAGACAGACAGACAGACAGACAGACAGACAGGCAGGACAGACAGGCAGACAGGCAGACATACAGACATACAGACAGACAGACAGACAGACAGACAGACAGACAGACAGACAGACAGACAGACAGACAGACAGACAGACAGACAGACAGACAGGCAGGCAGACAGACAGGCAGACAGGCAGACAGACAGACAGACAGGCAGGCAGACAGACAGACAGACAGGCAGACAGGCAGACAGACAGACAGACAGACAGACAGACAGACAGACAGACAGACAGACAGGCAGGCAGGCAGGCAGGCAGCCAGGCAGCCAGGCAGGCAGACAGACAGGCAGACAGAGGGAAATCCTGGGTCAGCTGCAGGTCTCTCAAATTCCCTAGCAACGGCTTGGTGAAAGCAAACTCTGGTTACTATGGAGACGGAGATACAGAGCTCCCAGTCAGTCAGGCCCGGGACAGCAGCACGTGCGGACATGGAGCCCCCCGCAGAGGACAGCAGACTGGCTTTCATACGGGACTATGTGCTGAGGACCCTCAGACTGCAGCCGGACCGCTGGCACAGCTGTGTGTCCAGCGAGGCCAACCACCGGGTTCTGCAGGATTTCCTGGACCGGGCCGAGCCGCGGAATCTGGTGGTGTCTGTGACCGCGGCCGGGCAGCTGCAGCCCGCCGCCACCCTCCCCTCCTCCCCCGCCTCCAGCAGCAGGGGCAGGGCGGTGTACTTCGTGAAGCGGAGCCGGAGCGTGCTGCGTCGGGACTGCATGGAGGAGAGCCTGCTGTACGGAGACCTGTCCCACAATGCACTGCAGCACTTCTCTGCTCTGGTTGAGGAGGTGAGCAGCACACTGTGTTCATGAAGTTAGTCATTGTTGTCTTCCAAACATCTTCTGTGATCGGTCCAACAGGTGCAGAACACCCGGCGTCACCCCACTGTGTCAGCAGAACTCCAGTCCTGTTAGTCTCGGTTTATTGCAGGTTTTTCTATGTAAGTGCTATCCTAGAGACAACCAACAGACATTGTTTGTAACCTTAGTTACTGCTACAGCATGCTCAGTAACCAAGGTTACATAGATACAAAAGAGAAATAATAAAAGTCTTAAAACTAATATATTCTTCTAAAATATGGATGGGTTTTCATTTTTGCCCTATGCATTTAGTTTTGCATTGAGGAGGTATTTTAAAGCACATGATACAGACTCAGTCTGAGCCGGACCCTTGGCCCGGTGCGGTGCTGCTGTTAGACACATGAAGGTTTTACATTAAAGGGGACCTATCATGCAAAATGCACTTTTGTACGTCTTTTATACATGAATATGTGTCCCCGGTGTTCCAGGGAACTCACCAAGTGTCAGAAAACACAACCCTCTCTATTTTCCTCCATACCCAAATCTCTAAAAAAGGGGCTGCAACGGATCTGATAAAAACTGATCCAGATTTGAACACTGTCCTGATGTCAGGGCAGTGGCGCTACGGCTATTGGGCCAACTCCACCAATCAGGAGGAGACAGCCACGGCCATTGCCGTTCGAAAGCGCTGGAGACGCTGTAGTACATATGCCAGGCCTGTAGATGGTGCTGTTCTCACAGAATCAGCCCTTGCAAAAACAGGGCTAAAAAAGTGCAAATTGAGCGAAATGAGGCATGGCTAAAATGCATGATCTGTTTGATATTTTGAAAAAAAAAAGTATAAATATGCCTTCTATAGGTATGGTCCTACACTATATTATTAAAATATAGCATGATAGGTCCACTTTAACCTCTTAAGCCCTGAGCCTGTTTTTCAGGTCTCAGGCTCGAAAATGACATTCCCAGAACAAATGACCATATCTTCCCTTCTAAAAGGGTTAAATTAATAATCTTTATTCTCAAAGTAATGATAAACCTGTGAGTTGGATATAGAAAAGTCAGAATCAATATAGATGTTTTTTATTTTAAAGACATTTCAGATTTTACATAGTAAAAAACTGTAAATTATAGTGTCCGTCCAAAAATTATTTTTTACAGATAGTGAAAACTACCCTTGGATGATGGGTTAGTAGACTAAAACCTTTAGGAATCCAAAGTACAACATATAATAAGTACCCTGTATCAAGATTGATGCAAAACACGTGAAATTTGACCTTTTTAGAGAGATTTAGCCAAAAACCCCCACTTCTGGGGTCATTTGGGTGGATTTGACCTATCTCTGGCCCCCCTTGCTCGATTTTGATGAATGAAATCTCTTTATAACCGCTAGAGCCAATGGAATCGAGGGAAAGTTATATACACACCAACACGTTAACAAATAAGGAGTGAGAGTGACGCGTTACCAAAACCGGAAGCTGCATACACTCTGGTGGCTACCATTAGCAGCTAACTTTTCCGCTCCGATTTTTACATAAAAAATGGAATTATGGATTATAAATAATTTTTTAAAAGGCACAGGTACATTATCAACCTATGGATCAACAGTTGTAGATTTTTTTTTTTTTCGTTTTAATGCCATTGAACACGTCTTTTGACCTAATTGACAGCTACGGTGAGACGATCTGCCGTAAAAGCTCCGTAAAGGTACGTGTTGTGATGTCTGTGTTTGCTTCCCCTGTCGCAAGTTCGGATCGCTCAGTGATGATACTATACCAAAATCATCAGTGGAGTCTAAGCTTTAATAGGCTATATTGTATGTGCAGCTACGATAAGTAATAAGGGTATCTTTATCTTGAATTGTGTGCTGCAGTGCGTTAGAATTTTTTCGCTCAGGGGTCATTTAGACCCTTCTTATGAGACTTGTGTTTTGTTTTGGTAAAAATGGTTCATATCTTCAGTTAGCTGAGATTCTTCCCGTTAATCTGGTGCTACACATTAATAGTTTCATAAATGTTAAGAAGCCCTGAGACATTATCTCGAAAACAAAACGGTGGGAGGGGTCCAATGGGGGGACCGCCGTGCTTAAGAGGTTAAATAATATGATGAGCTTATTCAATATTTCCCATGAGTTCAGACTGTCACATTCTGAACGGGTGTTACCAACTGTTTTACTTTTTGTGAGCGAGGTCTTTAAGTAACATATATATTTGGTATTGTGTATGTCCTCCTGGCTTGATTTTCTGCCAAACACGTTAGCTCTGTGAGCAATGATAGTAAAAACACAATGCATGACGCAATAACATGTGCAAACATGTCCACGGTTGGACAGTGTGTATGATTTAAAGAGACAAAAATAAGACAGGACTGCTAATAAACTGTATATGACCACATCTTCCACTAAGTCTCAGATTCTCAGGTTGGGGTTGGTGAAGTTCTCCTAACTCTCCGAGTAAATCCACCTTCAGGGGGTCCACCAGCTTGCACCTGTCTGCATGTCCTTTTTCTATGATGACTGGGGTTTAATGAATGATGACTTTTTTTATTCATCCCTTTTCCAAATAAAACACAATAAATTGATTTCTAGAATTGTAACAGACCATTACATCATTATAATCTTAGAATTCTTGAAGGGAAACATTTTGGGATTGTATTGCACACACAAACACACACACACACACATTTATTTTTGTCCTGATTCACTTTCACCTGTGTATTCATCACACGTTTACGGCCCGTCCACACAGCAGCGTTAAACAAATCTTCCAACGCTTCTGCCCATTCACTTTGAATGGGGTGACGTCACTTTGCCTCACTTTTCGCCGAACTGCATTGTGGGAAGCAGAGCGGAGATTTCCAGGCATCTCAGGATTCAAAAGTTGAGCAATGTTCAACTTTTGAAGCTGAGGTGGAAGCCTCAGCCAATCAAATCCCGTTTATGCAAATCTGCCAGTACAAGCGCTAGCCAATCAAACCGCGTGTATGCTGGGAGAGACATACCGCAGGTAATTTCCTCATATTCCAAAAAATGGAGGAGAAATTAATTATAGCGGTAGGGAATCACCCGGTGCTTTATGACCAGTCCCTATTTACCTACCGGGATACAAACCGGAGGAGCCAGGCATGGAGGGAGGTGGCAGAGACAGTGGTAGGTTTTCGCCTGTTTGGGGAGTTTATATCCAGTTTACTTCGGGCTTTTTTGCTTTGTATGTCCGGGGCGGGAGATTCATGTGATTGGTTGTTGGTCGCGTTGCTCGCAAAAAATCCCCAAGCTTCAGATACGCCCACCTCCAAGATTTTTTTAACGCTGCTGTGTGGACGTACCGTTACTCTAAAGCACAAGCTTTTTCCGTACGGAATGTCAACTTACTTACACTGCTCCAGGTTGTGGCCCCTCTGCTGTTTAACAGTAAGAACCACACTGAGTGGCCCCAGGTGGTGTCTCAGGACGTCAGGCGCCACGTCCACTCCCTCAGGACTCATGCGCTGGTGGTGTCAGGCCAAGTCCACGGCAGGACGCTGCTGCCTCTGCCTGCAGGCTGCCAGAACGTGGAGCAAGCTAACCTTGAGACGGACAAACGGTAAACCAACAATCATGTCGAAGGGTCATTTTCCTAAGTCCAAAGTAAACATCTCCCTTGTGACTCTTCCCAGGGGGGAGATGGTGAATAAGAGCATCATCCACTCCCTGGAGTCAGCAGTGATTGAGTGGAGCCATCAGATCCACGCCGTCCTGAAGAAAGACTCCTCTGACGCCCTGCTGGAGGGCCAAACGCCCACACCTCACTCAGAGCTGCTCTTCTGGAGGGACAGGTGTGCTCCTCACTTATTACACACTGAATGTCCGCTAAAAGTGCTTGTTCCTTTGCTGTGAGTGTGTGGCCCTGACAGAGGACCTCCAGCTGTTTAGATTGTTGTATGTGAGGGACTACGGATGGAAACTAGCTCAAAGCTAAAATCCGGCATGTTTACGTTTTAAAGCATTATTTGTTTTAAATGTTCATCAATGTGCACTGTGCCTCTTCAAATAAAGGATTAAATGAAAAGAAAAAATGAAAAAGATCCAGAACACCTGTGCATTCGAAGGAAACTGGAAAATGTTTACTTTCCAATTTTGTTTCCCTCTGCACAAAATGTGTTCTCCATCTGTCTACAACATATGCACTTATGTTCTGCATCACAGAAATATGTTCTGTAAGCATCAGTAGGAGGCCCCTAGCTGACAGTCACGTATCAGGGCTCAGTTGCTGTGAGGAGGACCCAAGTTTGAATCCGGTCTGGAACCATTAGGTCCACCAAAATCTTTTCAAGTAACAAGTGGTTACCACAAGACAATAATACCCTGAATATCAAATATATACTTCACCTTAAAGATGCTGCATGTATTTCTGACCAAATCTTTTTTATCAGATCAGTTTATTATTTTCAAAAAATTGAAAAGCTGCCATATGTAAACAACACGTGTGACATCCTGTGGCCATATGTTATTTACTGATGACAACTTGACTGATACCTTGTTGTTCTCCATTTGCTTTCTCCATGAAGATATGCAGACCTGGAGTGCATCCACTCCCAGTTAAATTCCTCCAAGGTGAATAAGATGGCGCTGCTGTTGGAGGCTGTGGAGAGCAGCTATGCTCCTGCTTTCACCAGCCTGAAGCAGGGGATCCTGACAGGTAGGACACTATCTATACACCTGCAGCATACAGAACTGAAATGAGATAAAGCACAAACTGGTGGGCGTGGTTTTTGATGATGCAATATTCTTGACTTCTTGACTCAATCACATGTTGCCTCACCAGCTTTGGAGGAGGCAGAGGACGTGCGCTTCTACCTGAGGCCCCTGCAGCCGCTCTTCGAGGACATGGAGAGTGCTGAGTTTCCTGATGTGAGGGGTCAGATTGGTCCTTTGATGCACACTGTGTGCCTGGTGTGGGCCAACTCCAGACACTACAACACCCCCCCACGCCTCATCGTTCTGCTGCAGGAGACCTCCAACCTCCTGATTCAGCAGGCCAGTCTCTGCCCTTGTGTCTTTAGTGGTAACAACTGTTTCTGAGATGACCTGTGTGTGTGTGTGTGTGTGTGTGTGTGTGTGTGTGTGTGTGTGTGTGTGTGTGTGTGTGTGTGTGTGTGTGGAGACACTGTGATGGATCGTTGGAGCTATGTGCAGCTCAAGGCATATATGCTCGAACGGGAGCTGCCTGGACGCTGCAATCATGTTGCGCGCACTATCCGTGCTGAGTGTGCTGACTTTTCGTATAATGTCCCACTGTCTGGCTACCTGCATAAAGTCAAGTGCTCGGCGCAGTTGTCGGCGAAATGTCGCTCCTCTGTTTTCATTGAAACAGCTCCTTATATCCGTTAGCGCAGCTAGCTAGCACCAGATGCTAACAACACGTAAGGTGGAGGGGGGGTCTGTTGTTTTATTAATTCTGTTTGTGTATAGATCAGGCATAACAAAATATAACATGTTATTGTGTGAGCTTTAACATATTTTTGTTTTGCTAAACTAAGCTTAGCTTGGGTACCATGTACTGCCTCTATGGTTTCTAATGTAAACACCACCCAAAGTGTTAAATATGCAGTTGATAGTTTGGGCAAGTAAAATGGTCTTGGGAGTCGGGAGGGCTGATAATTTATTCCGGCAAATTACTCAGACCTACTAATTAACCTAACAGAAGTTATTGAGTCTATGTAAGTTTACTGCTTGGCTCAGATCCACCAACGTCAGCAAGATCTCACCTCTATTAACTCCTGAAGAACCAGGTTCGATTAACTGCTGTTTCAATTCAGACGACCCTCTAAATCTGTTTAAGCGATCCCGAAGGATTTTGATATCAGTAATGAGGTGTGGCCCTACCTAAGTGTGAGTGTGGCAGTGTGCAATCTTACCTTTGAAGCAGGAGAGGAGAGCGCAGATGTCTTTTAAGTTGTCCCAATCCAAAAGATGGGATCAGTTTATTTGAAGAAAAATTGGTCCACACTTGAACAGGGTTTTTACCTTCTCTCGTTACAACATTACAATCATACTAAACATATCATACTGTGGTCATTTTCTAATCTGAAACCTTAATTCATAGTTTAGACATTAAAGTCTTCCGACATAATCCAATGGAATCTCCTATAGCCTGACAACATTCAGAGGCAGCTCCTCAAAATGATCAGTTTGAATTCCGACAGAATCCAGAGGAATCTCCTCACGGATCGAAGGTGCTAACATTCAAACCTATAGCCTGACAACATTCAGAGGCAGCTCCTCAAAATGATCAGTTTGAATTCCGACAGAATCCAGAGGAATCTCCTCACGGATCGAAGGTGCTAACATTCAAACCTATAGCCTGACAACATTCAGAGGCAGCTCCTCAAAATGATCAGTAAGAATTAACAGTTTTAAACTTTCATCCAACAATTCACTCAGCATTCAATAAACAGAAATGTAAGCAATATTTACCAAGTTTGAGAGAACCTTACCGAGGCGAAAACCCAGCTCTCCAGGGAGAGAGCTTTACCGGGAAAGAGCTACCAGGGGAACGTCTCTCTCTCTCTCTCTCTAAAGAGAGAGCACGAGCAGGAGAGAGAGAGAGAGAGAGAGAGGGGAGAGAGAGAGAGAGCTCTCTCTCTCTCTCTCTCTCTCTCTCTCTCTCTCTCTCTCTCTCTCTCTCTCTCTCTCTCTCTCTCTCTCTCTCTCTCTCTCTCTCTCTCTCTCTCTCTCTCTCGTTTGCTCCCTCTCTGCCAGTGTCTTTATGCTCAAAAACAGGATAGAAAAACCTAAAGACACCTCCTCCATACCCATATTTGTGGAAACTGGGCATGGCCTCTGATGTGCAGAACTGGACTTGACCAGACATATTCTATGGCTATGTCATAAGACACACCTTCCCATGTTTGTGTAAAAAGGTCATGACCTTTAGTGTGCAGGACTAGGAAATATTATTCTCGGCTATGACATAAACACCTTTTTTGGGGCCTCAATGTATTTCTCCTTAAGTCAGGAGCCCCCCCCCCCTGTGCACTGCTGTGAGGGGAGAGAGAATAAACTGTCTCCTCTCTCTTATCAGTGACACCCATATACCATAATAGGCCTTACACTCAACTTAACAAACCACTTGTGTTTTGTTAATACTGTAAATATAGAAAATCATAAAATATGAAGCATTTTCATTTTGGGTTATACAAGAATATAATTGATTATATTTGATTATAATTAACTTTAGTTTTAAGTATTCAACCTAATATGGAGATCTCAACAATGGGGAGGAGAATCCATCTGTTACTATAGCAACAACTATGCTGTTACTGCTCTCCAGGCTCGGGTGTATCTGGTCCCAGAGGAGGTTCTGAGAGGAGAGCTTTCAGAGAGTCTCATGAAGGTGCAGACCACCCTGGAGACCCTGCAGCTCTTCAGGAGCACGTACGAGGAGCGCAGGGCCAATCTGAGCCGGTACCAGAGGAACGGGGGCCCTGTGAGGCCCTGGGACTTCTCACCACTGTTGGTCTTCTCTGGACTTGACTGCTTTATTAACAGAGTTAGGAGCATTAAGGTGAGGATGGAAATGTTATCCATTATGTATAAGTTGACATATACTGTACCTGAAATCTGCCCCCATGTGAGATGACAAAATAAAACGGCCTTTGGTAACAGACCAGGGGCCTCATTTATAAAGCTTTGCATAGGATTCACATGGGAAGGTGGCTTACGTAGGACAAAGCAAATAAATATGCACAACAATATTCCGATTTATAAAACACTGCACACGTACGTCCTACGCCGGTTTCCCTTTATAAATCACAATCAACTCGAAATGCGGCGCAGCTTTTGCGGGCTTCACGTAACGCCCATATTTGCCTATAAATAGTCAAAGAAACGCCCCGTATTAATATTCATTTAGTCTGACTGCATGAAGAAAATCGCAGGAAATGACGACAGAACAGCTAAAAAAGACATTTCACACCGAGTCAGATTTTGGTTCTTTTGGGGAGTAGGAGACAAGTAAATCATATTGTTTGGTGGATGCAGTTTGAACCAGAGTAGCAGCATAAAGGTCGGATCGTCACCAAAATAAATAAATAAGTGGTCAGAAAAAAGACCAAAAACACATAACCTTCCTCAGGCAGTGTGTCAGTGTGTTTGTGCCGGGGACAGGAGACATTTCATGATGAGGAACTGTAAGAAATGATCGGGGAATCCCTCCGGAGTGGAGTCATGACGACTGGATCTGAATTTTTTTCGTGGTTTGTGTTCCAGCTGTCAATCAGCTGTGCGCAGCTTCTCCACTGCAGCCTGTGCGTCTCAACCCCCCCGCAGCAACTCTATCCACCAGTTAAAGGAAATAAAACAAATGTGTTGTGTTATATTAGCTGTACAATTTACCAAATATGGTGTTCTTAGTTTCCATACCTCCTGTGTTTTACGAGTGACTTATCAAGTATTGGCGAACGGCACAAAACATGATTAAACATGATAGTATATAAAACCATGCTCGTATCTACAACCTATAGAAATGCAAAACGGCGTCAGTTTAAAGTAATTCTGTCCTCCTGCTTACCGCATCATTTATGAGAATACATTTCTTAACAAGAGAACATAATCGAGGGGAGATCAATAACATTTATTTATTTCTCCAAGTTATGTTTTTGTGTGCACTGAGGAGTCTCAAACAGGCGTTTGTTTAATCATTTTAAGATTGGCTTTAATCCATTTCAGAAAGTTAATTCTTCATATTTGATAAATGAGAGGTAATATTTTTATTTATGGTATTATTTCTACATATTTCTCTCCATTCTTCCTTCTGCCAACGGTGTCGCAGTTTCTCGTCTCGTTTTTGTGCGTACTGCGTACGCATGGGTCAGAGTTTCCGTGGAGGACCGCACATTTTCCCGTCAAGTTTGTTTTTTATAACTTGCAAAGATTGCTTAGAAACTGGCGTACGCCATCTTTTGAGCGTACGCCACGTTTATAAATGAGGCCCCAGAACCTTATGCAGCTTAGCTTGACTGCCTTCTATTTTCCATTCCTTCTCCCATACAGGACATCCTGTTGACAGCTGTGGACTTGCTGAAGCTAGACAAGTTAGAGATTGGAGGAGTCCGGGGCCGGGCCCTCAGCCAGCAGGTCCAGGTGCTTCACCGGGGGTTTGTGGAAACGTTCAAACTGTTCACAGAGAAGCCCTACCACTGCCTGGACCTCAACAACAAGGTATGCAGTGTAAGAATTACAGAATGCATGATGCTTTTGTCCACTTGCCTTATGGGAAAAATAAGCTCAACATAGAAAACATTTGTTTATTTCGCAAAGGGACAAGTTATTTTTTTCACTTCAGCATTTGTGTGACTCAGTCTCTGCTCCAATGAAATGACGTATTGCTTGAATCAAGTTGCTTAAGCTAGATGCTCCTGAGTTCTAGCAAGAGAAGAAAGGACCTGTGAGTCAATGACATGTGAAAGGCTGCTGGTCTATCTGCTTTGCAGGAGTATGAAGAAGATCTGAGGGAGTTCAAACTCAAGGTGGATGACACAGACAGACAAGTAGGAGCCATCTTCTGTCAGGCCTTCGAGGAAACCTCTGGACTGGAGCACGCCTTCAAGGTCTGAGAAATGAATCTCTCTCTGCTTCTCTCCCACACATCTTCATTCACACACTTAGTTCCCCTTTCTGACGTCCGCAGGTTCTGGATATGTTTGGAGGCTTGCTGGAGCGCCCGTTGGTGGCCACAGATGCTCTGGACAGATTCCCCCTCCTGGTCTCCATGTTTGACAAAGAGCTGGACTGCTGTACACGCCTTTACAAGAAACACATCCAAACTGCAGAGGAGCGGGGTGAGATCTGCAACAATGTCTGCATTTTGTACGATTTGGTTTAGGCATAAATCAACCTTTATATAGTTGAGATTAGGTAACTGCTGTTGTTGTTATGCAGCTTGTGATGGTTTTGATGTGAAGCCCCCACTTTGGAAGTTGTAGGAATGTGTGGGATCGCTGTCCTTTTACTTTTGTTGCATCATTCTAGTGCGGGACAACCTACTCGTTATCAGTCAATCATTCTTGACCTCCTCAGGTTGGGCTCCAGTGAATAGGAATATGCCAGCAGTAGCTGGCAGACTGAGATGGGCCCAGGAGCTTCAGCTGCGCATCAAGACCCCCTTCTCCAAGTTCAGACACCTCTCCTACCCGTGAGTCTGCAACACATCACATCAAAAAGAATATTGGAGTTGTTCTGTCGCTGTAAAGTCATTTCTTCATGAATTGTTTTAAAGGCCTCATAAATGTTGTCTTCTCTTCAGGTGCCTGGAGTCTGCAGAGGGAGCCAGGGTCATCCACAAGTATGAGGAGCTGACGCAACTGCTGAACAGGTGTGTGTGTGTGGATCTTATCTCAGAGTTTTTCACTAAATGTCATCATAGTCAGATGCATTACTAATTAAAAAGAACAGAAAGGGACATGAAACAGAATATACGGTGGTATAAGAGAAGGCTCCATATTGTACTGTGATATTGTAAAAGCCAGCATGAATCAGATATCAGGTCTGTGTTTTATTTGCTCTGTAATTTCACAGCGGCACTGTTTTTCTAATTGAACAGTTGGGATTGTGTTAGTATAGTGTACAACAAATATGAAGAAGCCCCTGTGGAACATCATGCAGCTCCAGGCACGATGTATGTTCTCATTACTGTGGCGCTGCTCTGCACATTATTTCACAGAGCACATAATCCCATAAACTCAGTCCCTAGACTGCAGACACTTTAAATACAACTGGATATTGGCAGTAATTTAAGAATCCCTAGAGTCATTGTGATTTTTCTTCATAACCTCACTATGTTATTGAGATTGGACTATCCAATCTTCAATCAATCAATCAATTATTATTTATATAGCCCAATATCACAAATGTTACATTTGTCTCAGTGGACTTCACAGTTTTTACAGAATATCAATATGACAATATGAAACCCTCTGTCCTTGGACCCTCACAGAGGAAAAACTTCCAGAGAAACCCCACAGTTAATGGGGAAAAAAATGGAATAAACCTAGAGGAGAACATCAGAGGAGGGGTCCCTCTCCCAGGACGGACAGACGTGCAATAGATGCCGTGTGTAAATTGAAAAGATAATTCATTCACAACATAGGTAGTACAAATGTTTGGAAATGCATGTGTCTATAATAAGAAGATGAATCCAGGAGGATGTCAACAATCCTGTGGGAGCCATCAGAGAAGTAGTAGGATGAGAGTCAGGCAGGACCACAGCCACGACTCAAAATTCAGGACTCAGGATGCAGGACTCAGGATGCAGGATCCAGGACTCAGGATCCAGGACCACAGCAGGACCACAGCAACAAGATCAGCCACGACTCAGGATCCTGGCGTAGACAGACACCAAAAAGAAATTTGGGGGAAGCTGGGTTATCCGGAACATGAGAGTACACAGGTACAGACAGAGAGAAGGAAGAAGTAAGGTGTCCCCCGACAGTCTAAGCCTACGCAGCAAAACTAGGGGCTGAATCTAATCAGCCCTAACTATAAGCTTTATCAAAAAGGAAGGTCTTAAGCGCACTCTTAAAAACGGATAGGCTGTCTGCCGCCCGAACACAAACTGGAAGCTGATTCCACAAAAGTGGAGCTTGATAAGAAAAGGCTCTGGCACCCATTGTACTTTTAGAGACTCTAGGAACAACCAACAGCCCTGCATTCTTGGAACGCAATGCCCTAGTAGGACAGTAGGGTATAATGAGTTCTTTAAGGTAAGATGGCGCCTGCCCATTAAGGGCTTTGTAGGCAAGAAGAAGAATTTTAAATTCTATCCTGTGTTCTATAGGGAGCCAGTGTAAGGCAGCCAGAACAGGAGTAATGTGGTCCCTTTTCCTAACTCTGGTTAGTACACGTGCTGCAGCATTTTGAATCAGCTGAAGCGACTTAACTGACTTTTTGGTACACCCTGATAATAAAGAGTTACAATAATCCAGCCTTGAAGTAACAAATGCATGGACTAGTTTCTCTGCATCGTTTTGAGGCAAGATATGCCTGATTTTTGCAATGTTACGTAGATGAAAGAAGGCGGTCCTTGAGATTGATTTTATGTTGGCGTTAAAAGATAAATCCTGATAAAATATAACACCAAGATTCCTTACAGTCTCACTGGAGGCCAAATGAATGCCATCCATAGTTAGTATATCTTTAGATAATTTGTTTCATAGATTCTTTGGGCCGAGTACAATAACTTCAGTTTTGGCCGTGTTTAACATCAAAACATTTAAAGGTCCCATGTCATGGCCATTTCCACTGATCATAATTACATTGTTGAGGTATACTAAAATAGATTTATACTGTGCAATTTTCCAAACTCACATTGGTTTCGCATACAGCATCTCTGTAAAGTATGTGTATTCAGCAGTATTCACTCTCTCCACTAAACGACTCGTTGGAGCTCTTGCCCCCCCTCCCTGTGAGCCTAGTGTGCTCCGATTGGTCAGCTCGGCCACTCTGTTCTGATTAGTCAACCACCAGAGAGGCTCCGCCCATGTCTAACAGTGCTTTTTTCGGCTCGCTCTCAGCAGAACAACAGTCTTATAATGGCGTCGGTACAGCCGTATATTTTATACGCTAACTAACCGAACTGTACCTACAACTGTTGTTATAGAAGAGTAAGTTATTTTTACCTGTAATAAACTACTACTGTTTGATGAGAAATCAAATCATGGTTTGCTATATATGAATGATATGTTATAGGAGCAAATAATTCAGGGAAGAAAGGATAGGCCTACTAAGTATTTCCATCAAACTTTATTTTTAGAAATGTACAAAATGAACATGCGTAAATATACATATATACACTGTATATCAGGGCTATTCAATTGGCGGCCCGCGGGCCAAATCCGGCCCCGGGGTGATATGTACTGGCCCTTTGAGTATAATGTTAAAAAGTAATCAATTTTTTTTTTTTAAGATTTTTTTTTTTTTTGTGCCATAGTGCCTTTATTCCAGAGAGGGTGTTACATTGAGAGATAGAGGGGTAGACAATGCCTGAAAACTTCGACGGGCTCGGGTTTCGAACCCACCTACTATACTGTAGTGACAACTCCTGTCATTGATTGCATCTCTGCGTGAATGATTAGATCATTTCACCTAAATGAAATCAAATGAAACATGTAGGCCTACTGAGTTCTGAACTTGCCATTTAGATCTATAAAGGCCTTGGGGCTATGTTGTTTGATTGAATTAAACACAATATATGCACTCCACTATGCTGTTGTAGTATTTACTGTATCTGAAGCTCTTAAATATGATTGCTCATATTTCAAGCCATCTTTTTCCCGGCCCCTTGCTTTGGATCATTTTCATCAACCGGCCCCCATTCCAAACTAATTGAATAGCCCTGCTGTATATCATCCATTCCTCCCCTTATAGGCGTTTTCGGCATCTTGCCTATCGCAGCTTTGTAAGCGGCTGCCGGGGCTTATTAGGACGAGGCATCAGAGTGGTCATCCCGTGTGTGTGTTGTCCGCCAGATACGCCAGGAGTTTCCTTATCTGGCTGGACGAAATCAAATGCAAATCACAAAATATTAGAGAAACGTAGTTGTTTTAGATTCGTTAGTAGTAGTTGTGGTAGGAGTGTGTATCTATCTAATCTATCTATCTAATCAACACAGTTAGCTTGCCAGCTAATATGCTAACCTACATTTGCTAGTTGTTCAGTGTAATATGCCAATCTACTATGAATAACAGCTAGTCTAGGCCAGCGCCATATAGATAGATCTGTTACGGTTTTGTATTTATGTTTTCATTTTCCACCTTTTTGTTTTGAAATGTTTGCCTCCTTGTGTCTTCTCTGTTCCTTCTTCCTGTGTTTGCCTTCCTGTCATTAGTTCCCCTGGTGTGTCTGATTGTCTTGTGATTACCCCTCCCTGTATTTAGTCTTGTCTCTTCCTGTGTTCCCCTGTCGGTTCATTGTTGGTTTTTCCTGTCTTCCTCCATGTCAGTCACGGTTGTCTCTCCTGTCTCCCTCCATGTGGGTCACGGTCAGTTTTTTGTACAACCCATTTGTTTCATGCCTTGTTTTGATCAGCTTTTAAAATAAAGCTCGCTTTTTGTTACGAGACCTGTTACCTTTTTGATAGTCTGCATTTGGGTCCTACCCTTCCACGCCATCCTAACAGAATGAACCGACCAGCTTTGGACTCAGCAGACTCGGATCGTTTTGCTCTACAGGCAGAATGTCTTGGGTACTCTCTGGAGTACATTTTTTATACCTGGAATGGCGCCTCTTCTAGACGTGGTAGAGAGGCTGCGTTGAAGGAGGCACGTCAGGAGGTTGCTCGCCAGCCCTGGCTTAGGAGCATGTTGCCTGAGTGGCTACAACTTTTCACAAGTAGTCCTGAGGACTTGTCCGAAGCCTCTAACCCTTTCCTAGGGTATGACCAGGCCTGGGGAGGCCCACAGATCCTCCAAAGAATCTCTAGGAGACGCAAGACCAAGATTCCAGCCCGTGCTCCAGTGGTTCCAGCTCCATTCTCTGGCCCTTTTTTGGGATCCCGCCTGGCGTTTGGAGGTCCACGGAGCCTCCAGGGGGCCTCGGAGAAACGCAAGGTCGGGAGGCCGGCTCGTGGTCCAGTACCCGGCCCACACAGCCATGGATCCGTGCACCAGTACCCGGCCCACACAGCCATGCTTCCGTGCTCCATTACCTGGCTCACACAGCCAGGGTCCAGGCTTCTGTTCCGTGCCCAGCAGCCATAGTCACTGCTCCAGAACCGGACCTTACAGTCATGTTTCCGTGTTCCAGTGCCGGTCCACACAGTCATGGTACCGTGCTCCAGTACCATCCCACACAGCCATGGTTCCGTGTTCCGGTTCCGTGCCCAGCAGCCATGGTTCCGGCTCCAGAACCAGCCCATACAGCCATGGTTCCAGCCCCAGTTCTGGCCCCAGCAGCCATGGTTCCGGCCCCAGTTCTGGCCCCAGCGGCCATGGTTCCGGCCCCAGCAGCCATGGTTCCAGCCCCAGTTCTGGCCCCAGCAGCCATGGTTCCGGCCCCAGTTCTGGCCCCAGCGGCCATGGTTCCGGCCCCAGCAGCCATGGTTCCGGCCCCTGTTCCGGTCCCAGCAGCCATTGTCCCGACTTCAGTTTCGGCTCCAGTACTGGCTCCCCGGCCGACGCCAGCCCCCCGTGTCCTGTCGGTG